TTTTTTTTTTTTTGTTAGATCTTTATTTTCATTACAGGTTCACTTTAACTACATTATTTTTACTTGCTGTCCTTTTCAATATCATTGATTAGAAATTTTTATAAATTAATCATTATTTGTTTCTATAATTCTAGGCTAAGGCAGGTGGCAAATGGCCTTTAAAGTGGTATGCTCCAGAGTGTATACAATACCATAAGTTTTCGAGTCGTAGTGATGTATGGAGCTTCGGGGTAACCATGTGGGAAGCATTCAGCTATGGACAAAAACCTTACAAGGTAAGGGTTTGCCGTCAGGGCCGGATGTACTCTCCTTGCCGCCCCAAGGCCAGGTTCCACAATACAACCAATCCCCCCCCGAGTGCCGCCAACCCCCCGTCCCAATCAATTGTGAATGGCAACCAGATAGCAGGTGGGGGGGGGGGTGTATTGTGGAACCTGGCCTTGGGGCAGGGCTAGTTTCAATTTTTTTTTATTGTTTCTTTATTTTTATTACTATTTATTTTTTTATTCAATTATTTCTTCTTATTTTTGTAAATAACATTGATTGACGTCGGTGGATTCATACCTCGCGCCCTATATCTGACAGCTGGGGGGAGGAGTTGCGGCCTGCCGCGACGTGATTGGCGGCCTTGTGGGAAATCCGGGCCTGTTTGCAGAGTACATTAACTTCACATATTTAAACATCTGGACCTTTAGAAAGATTATTCAGAAACTAGCTACTTTTATACACTCACCTTCCTTTTTTGTATTGCAGAAATTAAAGGGCACTCAAGTCATTGAATTTATTGAGAAGAAAGAGCGTCTGGCATGCCCCGCGCAATGTCCTAAAGAAATGTATGAGCTTATGTTGGACTGCTGGATCTACAAGTGAGAGAATACCTATAACCTACAGACTATCTTTACTCTATTACTGACTTATACATTATATCACCTCTGCCCCAAATAACAACCCTTTTTTATCTGTTCATTATTACTGAGGCAAGACTGATGTACTGAGGGATGTTTTAGTTACAGGTGGAGTCTAGTGGGCGGAGTCATCCACCTGCTTCTTAAATCTCTCAAGATACTTTGGGGAGGTCCTACTTCTCCTGCTATATTCTACACCATATAAAATAATTTAAATACTGAACAGTGAGAGTGAGATCCCTCAACAAGGTATTGGAAGTTATGCAGGCCTGGAAATTCAAGCTCAGAAATCTCGCCACAGAAACCCCCATGAGATTAATCTTCAGATATCTATCAAAACCTGAGTTTGGGTGGAAAAACTTTTTAAATCATATATAGTCTATATACAATCTTATAACTTTTTGACCATTTACATTTCAAGGGAGCTTTTAGTTTCCTTTTGATAATTCAGGGGGTTATTCACAAAACTGCCAAAGGCAGCCGAGTGAATAACCCAGCCGAAGTGCAGTGAGACGAACTACGTCGGGCTATTCCCTTCTGGCTTGTACGGCTGATTTAAAAAAAAGTTGAAAAAATATTTTTAAAAATGTAAATAAAAAATTAAATTAAAAAAATAGAGAGTAAAAAAAAACAATTGGGCGGAGCTAGTAGTGACATCTAGCTCTGCCCAACTGTTTCCTATTTGCCGGCACCGGCCAATGAATAACAACTGGGTGGAGCTGGCCGTGACGTCACGGCCAGCTTCGCCCAGTTGTCATTGTTTAATGACAGATTACGCTGATCTGTAATTCCAACTGGGCGGAGCCAGCTGCGAGATCGCGGCTGGTTCCACCCAGCTGTCATTTGCGGGACGAAAGGCCGGCCTTCGGTAGGCCATTCGCCCCGCTTTGGCTGTCACTTCGGCTCACTTGGAGGTCACTTCGGCTCAGTCAAGCCGAAGCATATGCCTTCGGCTCGGCTGAGCCGCTCGACCCCCTTCGGCTGCTGTAGGGCTATAGTGAATAGCCCGTAGAGCAGCCCTTATGTTTGTAACGCTCGAGGAATGGGGGCTGATGAGTTTTATAGATCACAGCCACGGATGTCTGTCAATCACAAGTATGAATAGGAATCTTTACTCAAGTTCCCCTCAAGCCCGTGGAAGGCACTTAAGCACAGTCGAAGCTATCATAAGGGTAAACAGTCATTAAGGCAGAACGGTAGAAAAAAAAGTAACTATAGTAAGAGCTCTCTGAATACACAGTAGCAGCTTGAAGTGTCTTTGCTTTAGAGAGTTAGTGTCCAGGAACAGGTGTAGTTAGATATCACCTGCATGCATGGCAGTTGATTACATAGAGTCAATGAATAGAGAACGTTTTAGTGAAACAAAACTTTACACTTTGTGAAACAATTAATGTTCATTGTATTTGGTATTGAATAGACATGTGCACTGCCAAAAAATTTGTTTAGTTTCGTTTCGTTTTAAATTCGGATTTGTGTTTTTTCGTTTTTCAGGATTCGGGTGTGAAAGTCAATTCGGATTCGGAATTCGGATTCGGACGAAATTCGGTAGCGTTAGTACGAACGTTCGTTTTGTTTTCTGTTCTTATTCGTTTCTTATTCGTTTCGTTCATTTGCAGCAAAAGTGACATTTGAGGGGGAAAAAATATTTTTCTCCTTCTCTAATGTCACTTTGCTCCAACGAACTAAACGAATAAGAAACGAATAAGAAACGAATAAGAACAAAAATGAAACGAACGTTCGTACGAACGCTACCGAATTTCGTAAATGGAAATTCGGATTCGTTTGCATTCGTTATGTCTGTAATTCGGAATTCGGATTCATCCGAATGTCCGAATTTCCGAAAATTCGTCCGAATTTCGATTCGGAACGAAATGAATCGCACATGTCTAGTATTGAATAAGGTGATACTTGCAGTCACTAGGCACCGGTGTGTAGTGTAGTGAGCAGGTAGTGAAATCCTGGATGAATCCCAGAGTAGTAGTGCTTAGCGGAAAGTCCTGGAGACTGTGCAGCAGATGGTTGCTAATGGCAACTGGAGAGATCTGGAGCAGCATGTAGGTGGACACAGCAATGAGGTGTGAGGCACATCCAGTCAATAAGGAAGAGTTGGTGGAACAAAGGATCCACAGGTGTTATGGAAGGTGTAATGCTCGCTCAGGGTTAGTAGCAGGGTATGAGGAGGTTCAGCAGTAGCCGGGATGTTGCCTAAGCACATGGAGGCAGAGTCTCTATGTCCAGCGTCTGCATTTGCTGCATGAACACAGGACAAGAAAACCTTGTGGTTTAAATCAGCAAGGAAGGAGGAGAGTTGTGATGTCGTCAGCAAGGGGGGGGGGAGTCAAGGCAAGTATGTTACAATGTTTGACTGAACCGAAGGGCTCCTGCGGCCGAAGAGAGCTGAAGGATCAGGCAAAAGATCAGCCAAAGCTACGGCTGGATCCTTCGGCTCCTACGTGAATAACCCCCTTAGTTTCAGCTCCCCTTTCATAGTAAAACAAAGTACTATTTTGTAAGGAATTATGAGTTATTATGAAATATGTGATACCCCACGAATCTAACTGTGCTCTTACTGGGTTATGTATTAACTGTCTTTCTTCCCTCCAGTTTGAAGTATTGGTTTCAGCCTTCTGCAAGACACAGGAATAACAAGTGTGCAAACCTTAGCAAGAAGCTGCCAGGCTTTAGCCTAGAAAATGTCTTGTGTGGGAGTCTATCGCCACAGTGGCTCCTGAGATGTACTGTAGTGCTCATATAAATGAATAGTGATGCCTGCGTCTGTGCCTGTAACAGCTCTGTGTACTGAAAGTCTAGGTTAGAAAACATAGAACAATGTGACTACATGTAATGTCAGACAGTAGCATAACTTGACCAGTGACTATGGGAGGGGAAGATTTTGAAAGAGGGACTCTGCTTGTAGGTATCGGGTGACCACTTCTATGAAACTAAAAAACTCTCTTTAAATTCAAATGTAACACTTGGTAAGTGCAGGTAAGTCTTTTGAACCAAAAACCAGTTCTAAGAATGCAGAATCTTGGCCATTCTATTGTACCAATTGGTCTAAAGTGCAAATAAGAAAAAAACATGTGTAATATGCATTTAATACGAATATGTGACAAGAATTGAAAGTATCATGACAAGCCTTGCCTGGATGAGTGCTAGAAGTTATGTGCTTATATATTTATCCTAATTGTACTGTTCTACTTGCCTAAATATAATGTCATACTGGCGTTGTAACAACAATTTGTAGCAGCTTACAGAGTCTCTCCCCTTCTTTGCGTCAGAAAAATAAATGAGGTGCTGCAAAAAAATCCAGGCAATTTTTATCTCAATCACTAAATGATTGCCTTTTTTGCAGCATTTGATGCTAGCTCCAGAATCACCAATTTCAATAGCTAAACTTGTGATCCAGCACAACTGATGATGACGATGGCACACCAGTAATTTGTAGCTCCTTATATAAGCATTATAGTAAGCTACAGAAGCAAATCTATAGCTTGCTGTAGAAACAAATAAGCAGAGATGTGTAACTGCTGCAAAGCTGCTAAGGTGACATGGCTCTAAATTATGTTAATGAGCTATCCATTGTACCCACATAGGATGGACGATCGGCCAAATTTTGAGAATGTGGAAAACCGGATGAGACTATATTACTACAGTGTTGCTGACAAGACCGAAGATCCAACTCCATCTTCATCTAAAGAAAAGACAGTCTGAATATATCTTAATAATGGAAAAAATTAAAGTCCTTTTACTCAAAATAAAGAATATTGTTGGTGGACACTTCTCTGACAAGTAACTCGTTATATTTATATATGGAAATTATGTTATTTACAGTATATCTAGTCCTTTTTGTTCCTGTACCGTTCACACTCAAGCAATGCCATTCAATAATTTGTCTGAAAGTAATGCTACCTTGTATACAGTGCTCAGGTCATGTGAATGATTTCTATTTAATACATTTACTGGATTTGTTTGGTCAACAATAGCCGATTCCACTGTTTTCACTTTATCTAGGCAATAGACAATTTACTCTCATTCTTAAAATTGCTATCTTCTCTACATATTGCTTTGGACTTTTGTACGAGGGCATTCCCAGGGCAAATGCTGACTTTTGCATTCAAACGCAGATCAAACATATTCACTGGAATGCAAAAGGCTACATTTGACTTGGTTTTATAATACGATTAAGGTAAATGGGAATCTGTTGACCTGTGTTTGAAGTTCTGAAGAAATATAAGTATAGATATCTACAGTTTTTGACCAAACATCAAATCATCAAATATATTTAGGGGGTTATTCACAAAGCTGCCAAAGGCAGAAGTGTGAATAACCGGCCCAAACGCTGTTCGGCTATCACTTCAAGCTTGTACAGCTGATTTCAGCCGGCTGAAATCAGCTGTACATCAGCTTGCTTCAGGCGGGTTTGGGTCGGCTGAACATGCTCAGCATGTTCGGCCGACCCGAAGTGCAGAAGGAGTTCTCGCTGCTGTTCGGCCTATTCTTATAGATGCCGAACAGCAGTGAGTGAATAGCCGAACGCTGTTCTGTCATTTGGATGAGAGCTGAGCAGAGTCGGCTTTCATATCACCGCCAGCACTGCTAAGCTCTCATCGTACTGACAGATCAGCGTCCCTGGTTATTTGGTAACCAGATAAAGATGGAATCGTAACTGAAACTCGGCAGAAAGATCAATGAAGGTAAAACTAAAGAGGTGTACGAGCTGCCCGATCACCCCGGATGTGTCCTCATGCAGTCCAAGGATCAGATCACAGCAGGGAATGCAGCCAGGAAGGATCACATGGAGGGTAAAGCCTCCATCTCCAACTGTCATTACACTGAGAACCCGGCGTTCTCAGTGTGTAATGACAGATCATCATCCCTGGTGACCAGGGGACGCTGATCTGTCTCTGCAAGTGGCCGGAGCCAGTCGTGAGATGACAGCTGGCTCCGCCCAGCTGTCAGTAGCCGGCTGCTGGCTGGCCAATGGCCGGCCGTTCGGCCAGCTTCGGCTTTCACCTTGGCCCAGTCTAGCCGAAGCATATGCCTTTGGCTCTGTTGAGCCGCTCCGTCAACTTCGGGAGTGTATAGTGAATAACCCGTACAGCAGCCCTCCAGTACTGAACCGAAGGGGTCCTGGGGCTGAAGCTAGCCAAAGGATCAGCCGAAGCGACGGCTAGATCCTTCGGCAGCTTTGTGAATAGACCCCTTAGTATATTAAAGTCATACATTCAGACTGTTGTAATGTGATGCTAAGGACATATTGGGTGTTGAAAGATTGAGTAAATATTATTTTAATATTGGCTTCCAGGCCATATTGTATTTTGCTATTGTAAAGATCCATTCCAGTTACTGTCAGCTGCCGTCCTCCTCTAGCCCTTCTTGCCTGTCCTGTGTGTCATTAAAGACTGTACATATTAAAATTTGGGAGCATTTTCTGACAATCATTCTGAGTTGTCAGCTGCTACAAGTGCTCAGACTGGAATATACACGAAGAACTGTGGAACAGAGGCTTTGGGTAGTATTTACATATTGCCTTCCCCTGACTATTCTTTCCTTGAATTGGTTAGGTAGAAGCCTTCGTCAGTTTTTTTTTGTTTCGTTTTTTACCTTTTGTAAAAATGTTTTTGTTCCTGTAGTAAAGTTGCTTAATATAGTTGGTTATCAGTAACATGTGTTTGGAAGAAGGGAACTAAAAATAAATCTTTCAGGAAACTAAAAATAATGCCACCATTGTTGACTTGTTTATGGAGGTTTATGCTTAAGGGCTGTCTTCCATATCCTTATTACTTTGACCTGGAAACAGCATCACATTGTGACATAAGCATAAGAACATCTATAAAGCTTGTACCCTCAAAAACAAGTTGGCAGTGTCAGCTCCAATATTTACATAGTTACATAGTTACATAGTATTTGAGGTTGAATAAAGACATTAGTCCATCAAGTCCAACCTATTAGGATCTCATTCTAGGAGTACCCGTACCAATATTTCTCTCCTGATACCTTCCTCTAAGTCCTGGAAAATAAATAATCCTCAATAAATGATATATAGTTATGGGTCACATACAAAGAAAGAGCATTGAGCTCGGCTTCTGAAAACAACATACTGTTTATAAATATAGATTTGATGCACATTGAAGGAAACATGGTTGCTATGCACTTTTCTTTGCTATTTTTGCATTTATTACTTTTATGAAGAATTCTGAATTGGTCAACATCATGTGATTTTGATGTCAACTGTAAAAGAACAATGAATACATTTTATCACTAAGGGACTTTGCTCAAGCACCATTGGTAGCTGTTGTGATTGGTTAGTGGTTGTCTAAAGTACATTTTCTATTTTTATGTAAGATAAAAATTAAATGCGTATAGCATTAAAGACATCAGTCCTGGATTTTTATAAAGTATTTGGCACTTAAGTTATCTGATCCTATCACGCCCATATTTCATCACCTACCTAAAGTGCATAAAGCAAGTGCCAGAAAAGAAGGCCGTCCCATTGTGGCAGGGATTGGATCTATGTTGGAGAAATAAAGTCAGTGGGTTGATTATCATCTACAACTCCTTGTTAAGCGACTTTCGAGTTGTATTCAGGATACCAAGCACGTATTATGCACCATCAGATATGTGGAATGGAAGGAGAAATACAGTTGGATTACTGTTGGTGTTAAAGTTTTGTAGTCCTTCCACATAATCTGGTGATAGTGGCTCTAGGTTTCCATCTGAGTAGATAGCCATTATACCTTAGAACTGAAGGAATTTCTTGCAGAAATATGGGGCCTCTATTAAGGCAAAATGTTCCCCCTCTTTGGCAAATCTATATATGAGACAGTGGGAGGAGAGATTTATTTTCTCCTCCCAAAATCCCTTTCGCAAATAAATTCAGTGCTACAGCCATTACATAGATGACCTGCTCCTTATTTAGAAAGGCACTGATGAAACAGCTGACTCCTTCAAATTGTAGTAGAATGAGAATGATTTAAACCTATTTACTTCTATTATGCATGATTATGTAATTAACTTTTTGGATATTACTCTTTTGGGGAATGTGAACACAGGACAGGTGGTCACAGAGATGTAAAGAAAACCCTGTTCTGGGAACTCTACCCTTTTGGCAAATAGTTGTCATCCTCCACTCACCATTAGATCTATCCCAGTGGGAGATTTTTTACGAGCAAGGAGAAATTGCTCTACTGAAAAGTTATTTAATAAGGAGTGTATCATCTTAAAAAAAACACTTGAGAGTGAGGGGAGATCCTGAATGGACGCTAACAAGGGCAATCAGTTTAGCTTTTGCTAGATCCCGAGATGATTTGCTGTCTCCACAGGAGAATAGATCATATCATAACAAAGATAAAAGAGTTACTTTTGTTACTACTTATTCACATGAATTCCAACAAATTAAACATATTACAGTATTAACAAAAAGGTTACCAATTTTGTTCAACGACAAAAAGCGGTATAATATTCTTAAGGATGGGTGCAAATGTTTTACCAGAAAAGCACCAACTTTGGGGTCTATGCTTTCCCCTAGTTATTTCAAGCCAAATATTACTAAAGAAAAAAAATGGCTATCAGTTGTGCGATATTATTACTGTGGATACAACACCTGCAGGTATTGCAGGGTACACCAAAAACTGGGGTAGTCACATCAGCTGTAACTAAAGAACAATTTCCCATTAAACAGCACATTAATTGCCATACCCGATGGGTTGTGTACGTTATTACATGCACTACCTGTAGCACTCAATATGTGGGCTGTACTATCCATCCCTTTAAGAATTCTTATAGGCAAGCTTTATTATGATAGCCTTAATCCCAACGCATTACTTCCATCAAATGTCTCAAAACATTATATGTGTTGTGTTGAAATCCTGCATGTGTTTTACCTGTGTCACTCTCAAGTGTGATGTATCTTTAAGAACCCCCTTTGCTTTAAATTGAGGCACAATGGATTGCCTTAATATGTTTCTCTTGCTTTAGCATTGAAGGGCTTAACTCACCAGGTAAATGGGCACACATGTAGGAGGGTTTAGTTAGTGTGTGCTCCCTTAATAAATTTGTATTTATTGCTGTTATTTTTGTAATTTTATTGCAATGATTAAGGTTCCTTGGTGGACTGAAACATGTTAGCAATCTTTCTAGCTGCTTTTATGCCTTTTCAATAAAGAGACACCGTCAAGAAGATTCCTACGAGTGCCAGCTCTTTTACATTTAATTTTGCTGGTTGCGCCTGGCAGAAAGTTACGCTGAGCACCACGGCTTTATTCTTGCATTGTATATTGTCATCAAATATTACCTGTGCCCTATATTAAAAAGGTATCTATTGATCAACAATTCTCAGTCACTGATCCATTTTAAAATGGCATCCAGTCTCTTTAGCCACTACTGTTCCCACAGATGTTTGCAGTGGAAATGGCATCTGACAGTGAAAGGTTGGGTTCAGCATTTGGGCTTCTGATCCTGCCGCTGAAAATTCTTCCACAATGAAATCTCAAGTGAAAAATTACAGAAATACTGTGTCCCTACTACTACCAATTTCAGGCTAGATTCACACCGCAGAAATATGTTGTGGAATGTTAACGTGCATTGCGTTAAGGCAGCCAAATTATTTTAAATTGGCTGCCAACAACCACAAGTGATCAAATACCACACACAGCAGTATCATGCATGTGACTTGTATGTGCTTTGTATGTTGTGCTCTGCTATACAATGTGTTAGGGTGCCATTC